AGATGTTCTGTGAGAAGGGATTTCCTGATTCAGTGTTTAATAACTGAGACACTGTATATCCCTCTCTTGGAAATTCACAGTGCCCATAAACATAGTAAAGGCTCTGAAAAGTCTTGCAATTAAAAAAATAAATAGAACAAAATGAAAAATGGCTTATTTACTTTGCTTAACTCATTATTTCCCAAACATAATTGGCCATAGAGCCCTTTGTTGGAGTGCCATCTATTAATATCGCAAGGAGATAGTGTTCCATGGAACAGATGTCAAGAAATGTTCGCATAGTGCGAAGGACACTGGATTAGGAGGCCAGAGACTAGCTCCATTTCAGCTTTATTGATGTGCGTACGTCAGTTTTTCTCTTTGGGCTGTAAAATGAGAAAGTTGGCTGGGCGTGGTGGCTCATGCCTGTAATCTCAGCACTTTGGGAGACTGAGGAGGGTGGATCACTTGAGGTCAGGAGCTCGAGACCAGCTTGACCAACATGGTAAAACCCTTGTCTCTACTAAAAATACAGAAATTAGCTAGGTGTGGTGGCACATGCCTATAATTTCAGCTACTTAGGAGGTTGAGGCAGGAGAATCACTTGAATGTCCTCACCAAGTGAGGCTGCAGTGAGCTGAGATCGTGCTACTGCACTCCAGCCCAGGCAACAAAGTGAGACTCTATCTCAAAATAAATAAATTACATTAAATTAAATGAGAGGGCTGGGCTTGGTGGCTCATGCATGTAATCCCAGCACTTTGAGAGGCCGAGGTGGGTGGATCACTACAGGAGTTCAAGACCAGCCTGGCCAATATAGTGAAACCCTGTCTTTACTAAAAATCCAAAAATTAACTGGTGTAGTGGCTTGCACCTGTACTCTCAGGTGCTCAAGAGGCTGAGGCAGGAGAATCACTTGAACTCAGGAGGCAGAAGTTGCAGTGAGCCAAGATCGCACCACTGCACTCCAGCCTGGGCAACAGAGCAAGATTCAGTCTCAAAAAATAAAAAATAAATAAATAATAAAAAATAAATGAGAAATTTGATCTGTGTAATCTCCAGGCCTCTTTCTAGCTCAATATATCTGTGACTATGGCTACATCCATCGGGCATGATGAAAGCTTAAAACAAAGAAAACATTCCTAATTCTGGGAATTTTATTTTATTGTATTTTTCGAGACGGGGTCTCACTCTGTCACTCCAGGCTGGGGTGCAGCGGCGTGATCATGGCTTACTGCAGCATCAACCTCCCAGGCTCCAGCAATCCTCTTACCTAGCCTCTCTAGTAGCTGGGAGCACAGGTGTACACCACCACACATGACTAATTTTTATATTTTTTTGTAGAGATGGCGTTGTGAACATAGAATTCCTGAAGTCAAGCAATCCTCCTGCCTCAGGCTCCCAAAGCGCTGAGATTATAAGTGTGAGCCATGGTGCCCAGTAAGAATATTAAATTAGATAAAAGAAATACATGTAGGTTAGAGCAGCATATAGTACCTGGCAGCACATAATAAATGTTTAATAAATTTTTGCTAAATAAAAGACGGAATGTGAAAAAGATAAAAGTAAATTTAAATGAAACAAACTGTTTTAAAAGGATCTCTTAAGTAGAGGATTAATGAGACCGTGAGTGATTGAGATGTAGTTGAAATGCTTCCAGGTAGAGATCAATTTTGAGCAGTTTAGAAAGAGAAGAAAAGTAATTCAACATTTATTCGCCACTTACTATGTACCAGAAAATTTACAGATGTTATGTTAATCTTTGCAAGTCAATGAAGCTTAAAAAAGTTTAAAACTTGCTCAGAATCACACTTCTGGTAATTGGAGATCAAGAGGTTGGAATTAATAGACCAGGGTTGTTTTAATTTTAATGTCCCAGAATCTAGGAATGTGTTTTCCATGTGGTTTGTCTTTGCTTTTTTGAGACAGAGCCTCGCTCTGTCACTCAGGCTGGAGTGCAGTGGCGCAATCTCAGCTCACTGCAACCTTCGCCTCCCAGGTTCAAGCGATTCTCATGCCTCATGCCTCAGTCCCCCAAGTAGCTGGGAGCACAGATGTGTGCCATGACACCTGGCTACTTTTTGTATTTTTGGTTAAGACAGGGTTTCATCATGTTAGCCAGGCTGGTCTCAAACTCCTGGCCTCAAGTGATCTGCTCGCCTTGGCCTCCCAAAGTGCTGGGATTACAGGTGTGAGCCACCATGCCCGGCCATGTTTTCCATGTGTTTTAATTTTTCATCATGTCCTGTAGATCCATCCATAGTCATAGATTCATGGAGCGAGGAGGCCTGGAGATTATACAGGCCAACTTTCTCATTTTCAGCCCCAGAGTTCAAACTCTTACTCGGCAATCTGCTTCTCGAAGACGATGATTTGACTGAAATAACTCTTCTTGATTAACAGTATAACTGCAAGGGAACTTTTGTTATTCTCTGAGTTACCTCAGTGCTCACAATTGCGGAATAGGTTATCACGGCCTCCCAAAACAGTGTGTATGACTGCATGTAAAATATTGGAAATCCCCTAGCCAGAAGGGGCTGGAGAGAGGGTGAGGGTGCCTTGAGAAGCAGTTCCAGAGGAGTCCAGTGAAATGCCCGAGGGAAGGACATTTGGGAGGAAGAAGATTCTGCCAGGGATAATAACATCTAGGAAAGGAAAATTATTGCTGCAATCCGCTCAGCGGACTTCCGGTGAGAAATCTCTTTTGATTTAGAAGCTGACACCACCAGGTAGTATTTCAGTGTAGGTGTAAGAAGCAAATGGGGGAAAATGTGTCTCTTTTGTGGGTAATGTAAAAATATCTGTGCCAGAGAGTGGTTAGAATGACATGAAAGATGGAGAGGAGGATGGAAAATAATAAGTGGAAAATGGGGGTATCATGAAGCAGATCTTGTTAGCTGGGTCTCTGGAAGAAAGCAAGGAAGAAAGGATTTGTCATTTCACCCTTTCAAGTTTTCAGAATTGTCACCAACAAAATCAGCACCATGGCACCTCTGGTGTTTTTCATCCTTCATGGTCTTCCTAGAAGAAGAGAGGGCTTGGAAGTGGCTCTGCTAAGAGTGGGGTGTTTGTAAATCAGCTGATTGCATTTTCTTCACGGGTTCAGGCAACCTCCCAGAGACACAGATGCCCTTGGCATAAAGGCTGACAACCCTACCTCCCAGGCCACCCAACACCCAGTCCCAGGTAAACGTGTTCTTTTCCAGGTTTGGGAACTTGGATGCCTGCCCTGGTAATAGGGTAACTCAAGACTCTGCTTCCCTAGCTAACTGTGTGATCCTGGGCAGCCAATGGACCTCTCTGAGTGTCAGTTTTCTCATCTGCAAAATGAGTGCTTTGAAGCTGGCGACTCCTTGGTGTCTTGTTTTGCAGAGCCACGCTTTCAACACTACCCAGTCCGGATGCTTCCCCATCCTGAAGATCCTGCGGGTCACCTGTGCACTCCTGCTAATCTCTGCCATTTGCCTTCTTACCCCCTTTCCATCTCTTCCGGTGGAACATGGTAATCTGATTTCCAGATGGGCTAATGTCTCCTCCTAGCTGCAAGGCAGCGGCGCTTCTGGCCTTGGTTTCCGCACTAAACTTGATGGTCTGATTTTAAAGGTTGGTTTTAAAGAAACTGTCTGGTTGTGTGTCCCCGAGTTACACTGCAGTGCTAAATGTTGGAGCGAGGCAATACCGGGAGAATCCTGGGAGCAGGCTTCACCCAGAGAGGGAGGGTGAGGAGAGGAGGGCGACGGAGAGAGGAGAAAGGGGGAATGACTGGGGAGCTAGAGACCGAGCCCGGCGAGCGGGAGACGGGAGCGGAAACCACAGAGGTAGAGTCAGGGCCGACACTGAAGAAACGTGGATGCACAGGGAGGGTCTAATATCAGTATAGAGAGAGAAAGAGGGAACGCGGTGCGGTGACACCTAGCCTCGGAGGCAGTGGGAGCTCCGAGCCCACAGAGAGCGGGGGAGTTCCGCTTCCTCCCGCCCCAGCGGCCCCCGCCCCGCCTGGGCGCAAGCTGCTGTCCCGGCTCCGAAGGTGCAGCGCGCCCGGGCGCAGCGCTAGTGCGCGGAGCCGGGCTCCGGCCCGACCTCGCCGCTCGGATTCGGGTGTCCTCAGGCTCGGCGCTCCTCCTCCCCTCCTCCAGATGGGACTGGCTCTCCTCTTTGCAAAGCCAGGCTCGCGGGGAGACCTGGTGAGCAGTAGCCAGCAGCTGGTGTGCCCTGGACGCCGCTGACCGCCGCGCGCCCGGAGCGGGTGTCCATATGAGTGCCTCTCCCAGCAGATCCAGGTAAGAGCTTCCTGACCTTAAGAGCCCCAGGAGGAACACGCCTGGATGCCGAGTGACAGTGAGGATCCGGGTGAAACTGGAGGCTGTGGAACCATTGGAGTGGGGGGTGCTGTTACTTCCGAATTTTCTTAGCGAGACATCAAAGTTACCTGAGGGCAAGGTAAAGCTATTAACATGGATTGTGGTCTGGCTGAGGTGTCCCGCACCTGAGAGCTGGTGTCTCCAGAAAACCACTTTCCCTCTCCTTCATGATTTTTTTTCGGAGGTGGCGGAGCCGGCTTCCTTCTCCATTCAGTACTGGGGATATGCACAGAACAGGTAGTGAGCACAGGGTTGGGCGTGGAGATTGCCTCTCCTTCTCTCTACCTTGCTGACAAAAGTTGAACTGGAAGCACTGGCTTACCTTGCTCTGGGCAGTGCTGCCACCTCCCTGCCTGGCTGCCCCATCAATTCTACACCTATTCTGCGTGCATGGTAGAAGTCCAAGATTTGGCAAAAAGACAAAGGGTACATTATGGGGGTTCCTTAGGGAGACTAGGGAAAGGCTCTACTTCTAATTTCTTCTGAGGGTGGAAGTGAGAGGTTCCATCCCAGAAGAAACAGAATTACTCTTGTGGAGTAGATTGAAGGAATAAGAAGGTGTGGTCATTAGAATGAAGTTTTTAGAGCCCAACTTGTTTTCGCCCATCAGCCAACCTCATGCCTGGAGAAACTTCATTCTTCAGAAAGTTCCTCAGCGGGATGCACAGGCGCCAAGGTCACCTGAACAAGCAGTTGCTTGTGTGGACCCAGGCTCTGGTTTCTGGTGGGCCTGAGCAATTGTGAGGGACAACACCCGAGGCCCAGTACTGAAGAGGGGGTACGGTGAGAGGATTGTACATATCACGCATGCTTGGAAAATCTCTAGATTTCTTTTCCTACTAGGAAATACTAATTTTTAAAAAGGCTTGTAAAAAATAATAAAATGTTTCATGACAGCAGCAGATGTAAAACTCCCACTACTCTGGGCGAGGACAAAGAAATTTGTGCAGGGGGCTGAGCTGTCTCCTCTGCCAGCGCCTACACGGGCACATCACCTTTTTGAGATACAAATAGTGTTTTTAGTGTTTTACGGAAGAGGAGCCCTCCTTCTGGGAACTTTTTAGAGGGATAGATCTCAGCTGGGGCTCTCTCTTTGAGTTCAGGAAACTGAATAGTAGAAACAGGTTGAAAAAGCTACATTTCTACACACTACCCCGAGGTCCCACTGTATCCCTAATCTGATACAGAAACTCACTGTGGAACAGGCATAGTCAAAGAGAGGCACTCATGATTCCTAGTGCAACACACACCTATCTCTCTCTTCTCTCTTTCATTTTATAATATTTAGGAAATTAGACAGAAAAGTGTAGATATGTAACTCTTATTCCCTTTATTCAACTATGGCTTCCACCTTTGTTCCTGACTTGAAGATCATGTTTCTTGCTTGTACTGAATGTCCCTATCCATGTCACCTTCACTGCATCTCAGAGCTTTAGTTGCCTTTGATGGTGTACAGCGAGGTCTCCACTGTTTGCCTGAAGCCCCTTCCTTTGGTGCATTTATTTGTAGCTTGCTCAGGGAACTCATTCTTACCTTGCAATTTGGACAAAGAGTTCTGCTGGATATCACTGGTGTTCAAGAGATCCAGGATCCCAAAGGGCATATGGCAGTTCTAGTTTTTTCCATCCATGCTCAAAAGCTGTTTGGTTTTGGAGATTTGGCACTGTGCTTTGATGATAGTGTTGGTAAGAAACCATTTGAGCAACTGATCAACACCTAGCCAAACTGGGGTGCCAATTTGACATTGTCACAAAAATTGAGTGCCCTATTTGGTTGCCTGATCAGCTGTGTTCAATGATCATAGGCCTGGAAGGAAATCACATCTTT